CGTGTTGTGTGTTCCTCCTGACGGGCGTCTGCTCAATTGCTTCCAAATCTGTACTATATCTGTAAACGAGGGCCTATAGGGCCTGCTGGCCCATGCGGTGAAGTGTATGGCGGGAGGGGGGGGGGACTCGCCCTGTGACAAGTCCTGCGAAACATTCGTCATGTAAGCTGCTGGAAGGAATGTAAGGCGTTTTTTGCATTTTTGTTGCCCAGCCTGGCCTGAAGGGTGCCTCACCCCGCCCAGCCCCGCCCAGCCCAGCCCAGCCCATGCCCTGCTTGTCCCTCAACGCAACAACGCCGGGCACTACAAGGAGCACCATCATTTAACACCCCAAGATTGACGGCGTTAAAAATGGCCCACGTCGAAATGGGAGGAGGGGAAGGGGGCGGGGGCACACTTCGTGACACCACATCGACACGTGTAGAGAAACACCGCAGCACGGTATGGACGTCAGCGCCGCCGAGTGTGAAAATGACACTAAATCAAATTTTTGGAGGTGACGGCCGACAAGTTCTTTGCTGCCTCTGAAATATATGGAAAATGTATTCATAGAAAAGGGGTAATCATTATTGTGTGTGTTGGGGACCGGGTCCATCGAGATGATGAGCAGTTAAGCTGGCGGGGTCCGCGGCGGCTCGTAGGACCCGACTTCATCCATCACTCCGAGCGAAAACACATCAGGACTTCTCAAAATATGAAAAAAAAAAAATAAAAAAAATATATAGAAAATTCAACATTGTAAGGGTGGAAGCGGTAGAAAAATTCTAGGAGGAAGGCCTCGAGAAGCGGAAGTAAGAAGTATGGTATGTGCAAACGTGTAAAGAATGGCAGTATACTCTAGAGGGACAAAAGATACAGCAGGCGGGTATAAGAGAGTGGCTCATCGTGGCGTGCGTGTTTCTGTTTATTTTTTATTCCAAAAGTATTCATTTGCACACTCGGCGTTCACTGTTGTCACTTTCGCTTTCGGCGCCTGTACCCTCTTCCATGCCCAGTGCACCGGAAGTGATTTGGATGGCAACTTTGTCACTGTGTCTTTATAACTCTGGGACTCATAACAGAGGACCCCAGAGGAGGGGTCGGCCTTTCGGACAATGAAGAGGAGGAGGAGGGGGGAACAGCGGGGGTTAACAACAACGACGAGTAGTGGCACGACGCCGTCAAGCTGGCGACGCCCCTGCCCCACCCCTCCCGTCGTCCCCCGCGGTGGCCTCCTCGCCCCTC